GGGAGGGATGGGTGTTCATTTCAGTGGGATTAAAAAAGGAATATGTGTTCATGACCAGTTGGAAATCTGTTTGTTTACTGTCCTTGCTCTCCCCCTCTCGATTACCAGCATTTTTGTCATTCGCCTTGTCCATCACTACTCTCTTGACCATGGCCATCTTGCATATCCCCTGCACATGTCACGGCGTTGGCGGTGTTACAGACTGGGATTGGATTCCGTTTACCCTTCCATTTTCTCATGATTGATTTATAGCTGTCAAGAGCAATGTCCACCGGTGATCTTGTCTGTTGAATAGCATGTGCGACATGTCCTGCATTCATTAATAGAGCCATTTTTTACTTTGTTGTTGGGTGATGATACGGCGACACCCCCATTACCTGAAAAAAAGAGAGGATGTATGCGATGTCTAAAGGGCAGGTGAAGCAAAGAAAAAAAGAAGAGACAACAAAAAAGGAATGCGCCCGATAGGAGGCTCGAACTCCTGACTTTCAGATTAAAAGTCTGACACTCTAACCAACTGAGTTAATCGGGCGTTTGCATGGAAAACGCTGCCTTTTTAAACCTTGTAACCCAGAAATTCAATTTCTACTTCATGCATCAAAATATTGCTACCTAATTTATCGCCTAAATGATTTGGACGGTTGATAGTGTATAAATACTTATATACTTCACCTGCATATCTATAATTTTCCTTAACTAAACTGGTGGAAAGGCTAATAAGAATCATTATTATTGGCAGAGCAGAGGAGCAGAGGAGCAGAGGAGCAGAGGAGCAGAGGAGCAGAGGAGCAGAGGAGCAGAGGAGCAGAGGAGCAGAGGGCTGTGAGGAAGAGCGGTAAAAAAAAAGTAGCGCCCGATGCGAGGGTCGAACTCGCGACTTTCAGATCTCTATCATAACTGAGAGGGACATGTTAGCGGTAGATTTGGTGGATTAGTGGGAAACTTGGAACGCACAAGTCTGACACTCTAACCAACTGAGTTAATCGGGCAGTATTAATCTTTTCGTTGAACCATACAACAAAGAAATATGTGTCGGAATTCTCAATTTACCCAAGCCGCTTCCACATCCCCTACCTCATGGTATGTGTACCACATTACTCCGTAGTCGGGTTGGGTATCCAGATAGGTGTCGCAGTAGCCATTTGGGTGTGGATTGAACACCCCTGAGAAATAAATACTTTGGGGGGCTCGGCAATCGCTCCGACGCAGCAACGGAGTTTCCCCGCACGTCGCATGGGGTTCCTCCGCATGGGAGTGAGTATTTGAGACCCTCGAGACTTTCTGTCCCTTCATTCAAATCTCGATTGTCTCTTTTTATATGCCATGACCAGATGAATCGACATGTCTTTCTCAAAAGAATATCCCGCACTGCCCCGCGAAAGTACTCTGTCACAGCTTCCGCCCGAATACCCCGCAGACACCCAGGGCCAGATCGTACAGCTCCTTTCGACGTCTTCACTGACTCGCTTGGTTGTGCTAGACGATGATCCTACAGGCACCCAAACTTGTCACGATATTCCTGTACTCACCGTCTGGGATATTCCGACGCTGATTAAGGAATTCCAGCAAGATTCCCCGGGGTTCTTTATTCTCACCAACTCGCGCGCTCTTCCCCCACTTGAAGCGGAGAAGCTCATCCGCGGCATCTGTGAAAACGTCTCGCAGGCAGCCCAATCCACATCTCAGACTGTCGACATCGTCGTTCGCGGCGACAGTACATTGCGCGGCCACTTTCCACTGGAAGCAGACGTCGCGCAGTCCGTGTTCGGCCCCGCAGACGCATGGGTGCTGGCCCCCTTCTTCTTCCAGGGTGGGCGGTTTACCATCAACGATGTACACTATGTAGCCGAGGGGGAGAATCTGGTGCCTGCTGGATTGACGCAGTTTGCCAAGGATGCGACCTTTGGGTACAAGAGCTCGAATCTGAGGGACTATGTCATGGAGAAAGCGCCTGGACGGTTCGCCGCCGAGCAACTGCACTCGATCACAATAGACGACATTCGAAAGGGAGGGCCCGAGGTCGTATATGAGAAGCTCATGAGTTTTCCCAAGAAAGGCGTCGTCATCGTCAATGCTGCAGCGGAATCGGACATGCACGTTTTCGTCGCCGGATTGCTCCTGGGTACGTTTCGAAACCCCTCCATCCCCGATCTGTCGACACCTCGTTCAATGCTGACAGTGAAACCGAGTATGAAACAGCCGAAGCCAGAGGAAAACACTTCCTCTACCGCACCGGCGCAGCCTTCGTCTCCACCCGCCTCGGAATCCGCGCCATACCGCCCATAACAGCCCAGCAACTAGGCCTCCCCTGCCCCCGCAAAACAGGCGGCCTCATCATCGCCGGCTCCTACGTACCCAAAACAACAGCCCAGCTCAAGGTCCTGACTGACACCCGCGGCGCAACCGGTGCCCTCGCCGTCATCGAAATGGACGTAGCAGATCTCATCGCCTCCGACAGCGCGGAGAGTGTAATCCGTCGAGTCGTCCAGGAGACAGAGACACACCTGCAATCCGGCCAGGACACGCTGGTCATGACGAGCCGGAAGCTGATAACGGGCCGGGACGAGCTATCCTCGCTGGCTATCGGGGCGAAAGTCGCCGAGGCGCTGGTCCAGGTTCTGCAGCTGATCCAGGTGCGTCCGAGATATATCATTGCGAAGGTAAGCAATCACCGAACACAAAAACCAGGCCATGGAGAATCCTCAGCTAATGGGTGGTGCTTGTCCAGGGCGGGATCACCTCTTCCGACGCCGCTACCAAGGGGCTCAATATCAAGCGTGCCACGATTGTCGGCCAGGCTGCGCCTGGTGTGCCGCTCTGGCGATGTGATGAGCCGACTTCCAGGCATCAGGGTGTCCCGTTTGTTGTTTTCCCGGGCAATGTGGGCGGGGAGTCGACGCTGTGTGAGCTGGTGGAAGCATGGAGCTGAGGATGAACGTCGTTTGTATAGTTTCATAATGCACATATATCCAAACAAAGAGTCTATAGTTTGACCATGGACGGTGAAATTTGGTTTACCGAAATGGGAGTCGGATACTGGAGACTGTGGCCCGTAGGCCACGCGGAATGTGTACCTTCATTCGACTAATCTAACTGGCACTTGGACCAGGCAATAGCTGCGTAATGGGGACGGCGATATGTACAGCCACAAACCATTTGCGTCAGACGGAAATCACCACCATACCAGTCTCAGTCAAACGCCATGGAAAACAGGGCCACCCATACTCAGTAGTGCAGATATGCGCCATATTGATGGCCTCAAGAGAGCACTCTCGCAAGGTCGCTGGAAAAAGCGACATAAAAACCAAGAAATGCTTGTTCCTTGTGGAGGATGGGAAACAAGAGAGGGATGAAGGCGGGAGAGAAATGACGACCAACCTTGTTATCTAACCTCGATTGCGGTGTTCATCGCAGTGCAGCCAAGACCTTAATCAAGTGCGAACTGCAGAGGCAGAGTCAGCTGGAGTTAGCTGTTCACCAACACATATCATTGACGTTGGGCTTTCAACTTTAATCAATTGTTTAGGCGTTGTAAGTGTATCGTTTCAGCGAGGACATAATGGGGACCAGCCCCAACACGACGAATAGTTCGGCCTCAGGTGAGGGATGCTCACGCAGGTGTTGGCGTACTGGAGATTCCGTTGGAGGTGACCTGCCGCTTTGCAGCTGGAAGCGATGCGTCCTAGAAAGTAATTGAAATTAGTCAATCCCAATGCCGGAACTCTCAGAGCGTCATCCAACATGCGAAATATCCGCTTTCGTCTGGTGATTCATTTCCCGCTCGTTATTTTGTTTGACTCTCTTGCAGGCACTTACGTCCAAAGAATCGATACCTCGCTTTTGAGCGCCTGCTTCGGGTTTCTTGATGACCTTCTTCTTGGGGCGCGTGGGACGGGCTTCTCCCGGCTGGAAGACATCCTCGGGAAGATCGAAGCTGGTTCCCGAGTCAAAACACATCCACAGAGGAGAGCAAATTGTGACCAGACTTACTTGCGAACGTGAGTGATGGAGAGATCATTGATGCCGGGTTGGTACCCTGCCCACGAAGTACACGTAGATTTAAAAATCTGGGCATCAGTAGAGATGTCCAGCGAACGGGAAGCGCCTTTTAACGTCAGCTAGCTCACGGAAGACAAGCGCCATACATACCTGGCTCCAATGGCTTCAACTCCAAGCCGATGTAATATGTCGTGGTGTAAATGATACGGCTATCACCATTCGCGTTCTCACCGACAGGCTCAACCTCGGCATTCTCAACTCCGCTCTGAGCTGCGGCTTGGTGTGCAGCATCTTTAGTTTCATCTGTCGTCTCTGTCTTCGTACCTTTATCCTGATACTTGGTAGAACCGTTCTTTACGGCCTCTGCTTCTTCTTCATTGGAGATGATATGCACTCTCTCAAAGCCTTTTGGAAATGGGTGAGCCACAGCGATGGTAGGCTTGCGATCCAAAGCTCCGACCAGGTGTCTGATCTTGGATTCCACAAGACCAGACCACACCGATTCCGCTTCCTTAGTCCTGCTTGAGGCAGTGATGCTAAGATAGTATTTGTAATCATGTGTGAAGAATGAGTGCCGCGCAAAGAGATCATTCCAGGTCAATTGCTTCAAGAAAATCTTGTCTACAATATCACCTCCCCGTTGGAGCTCGCGAAGGATAACGGCCTTTGTGGACATTGAGATGTTGTGCGTCGCACACATCGATGGATACGCGGGGGTGATGATAGGCATAAGGTGGAACCGGTCGCCGTGGTAGATCTATCATTGGTATCAATATCACGAAGAATGCGGCGCGGCGTCCTGGGTTGCCCTTACCTTGGGATTCCAGACCTTAATCTGGAGAGGTCCGTCCTCGATAGGCTTTAGCAAGACAGGCTGGGGCCACGCCCACTTGTTCATAATGCGAAAAAACTTGCCGACGATCACAGACCCAGTAGCATGTGGGTATAACTGACAGACTCGTGCTACTAGCATCGCCCAAGCGACACCACCCGGAAAACCTACAATATTGGAGTAAATCGCCCGGCCTGTAGCTTGGTGTCAGCATGATAGCCGGGAGATGATGAAAAAAGAGACAGATGAAAGGTCCTTACGCTGAGCCCAGAGCTTGATTGCGCGTAGGGCAAGGCGGAATGTCTTTTGCTGGGGCACCAGTTCTAAAATTTCATCTGTGACCCGAGTTCCGTTCAGCGACCGCACCTCCTTCTCGTCAAGCCCCCTGAGGTAATCGTTGTTCTTCAAGTCGAGATTGAGAGGGACCGACGACACGATCAAACGGGCAAAGATAAGATCGATACTGATACCGGACAACTCCAGCTTGATAATTGGGACGAAGGCATCGGGAACTGGTGTCATCTTTTCGATAGCCCCGGGAGGAGCCATCTTCTCAAGCACCGGGGGGAAATCTGAGAAGAAATCGTCAATGAGGACATGCTTGGGGCCGACCACGAGTGTATCAATATCCGAGCCTATCGCACTGTCAACATCACAACCGTTGTGATTAAACACTTCCATGTCACTGACCAGGACCATAGACACCCAGGCGATAACTTCCATAAGTGAAAATCTTTCCACCTGCTGCCTCGACTGCTGCAGGGGACAGCCCCTTCTTTCGGCTGACAACCTTGACAAACTCGTGCGTTACGCGTTGAATGAGCTGGAGAACTTGTTTCCTACGCGATGACAGACATGGTGTCAGCAGAACATCAAAGAGAAATGCAGCTGAGTTGATCCCACCTCCGCTCTGTCTCCGCGGGACTTTCGAAGTTGTTCTGGGCCTTGAGCTCCGAGATCAAATCATCGTTGGCGGCGAGTTCGTCGGGAGTTGGGAGAGCAGTTGAAATAGGAGGAGTAACTCCCCACTGGCGAACTGGTGGTGTTGACATCTTATTATCTAGCTTGGGTTGACCAAACTCATGCAGTCGCGCCGTTTAGGCGTCAGCGGGAAGCGGCTTGATAAAGAGCAAGAGGATTCGCTAGAGAACGAAAGCAGATGGGAAGACACAGAACGACAAAGCAGCAAAAGAAATTAAGAAAGGAGTAGAAGGGGACTTGTAGAGGAAGAAAAGACAAAGGAAGGACTGAATTGATGAAAACCACCACAGAGATCGAATTGACCCAGTCATCAGTTGCGATGGGATGAGGAGTTCCAGATTATTCACGATTGTATGCTGACTTATCAGACTCTTATCACATGATGTTCACCATCGCCACGGCGATGAACTCACGTGATACTGTCTTCCTACTATAGCTACTAGAGTACTTGAAGTTCAAATTGAACAATTATGTACTAAACAATGAACTGCAAGATAATATGAGCCTACTTGAGTTGATCCTTGCTACGTGTCAACTCAAATTCACAGGAAGTCCGATAGTTGTTCGTCCAACCACTTAACATCATCCTTACTGTCTCCAGGACCACCAGCCCAGTCTGTGTTTGAGGATTGTCAGAAGTGTCTCGCCAATAGTCAAATTCAGATCAACTTACGACCCCAGATAGAAGGAATCACGCGGAGAGTTCCAATGCCAGGCTGCATGCATGAGACTTCATATTCCGAGTCCTCAGGACTGCGCAACGACATTCAGCATTAGACGTCAAAAGCTCGAAGCATCACTTACGGGAAGTATAGATCAGTTTTTCCTGGCATCACCAGGGTCTTAGCCTTGATTGAGGCGATAGCCTTCTCAAAATTACCATTGTATGGTTCCTGCTGCGACACGTCTCCATTCTGCCAGGTCTGAAGCATCACCAACAGATTATCCGGGTCTGATCCAACGGGGTCAATCGTCAACGGAGCCAATTCAGGATGTGTTCATTTTCTGCAGACGGCTTACCTTTGGATAAAGCCCACTTCTCCCAGAAGTTTTGCAAAAAGTCCTCCAGGTCCTTGTAGCCAAGGGCTGTCTCGTACAACTTCTCCCGGTAGAAGGCCTGGCTGAAACCCCTATCCAGACGATCAATGAGCTCCACCTCGTTCAATATAAACGGTCATTCGGACACAAGCTTACCAGCCAGCATACACTCTAGCAAAAGCTTTCAAACCAACATCTCTGTCCTCAGCACTCCACGCCCCCAAAGTCTGTTCGGCCTTTAGAAGGCCAATATTTCCTGAACCCGCCGAGGTTATGCGCTTCGGTGCAAGCAAGGCGCTCTTCACGCCTTCCAAAAACACCAGGTTATGCACCGATGTTGTTGCGGCTCCGCAAAAAGGAATTGCGACGTCCATGAAGTCAGGATACTGGGTCGCCCATTGATAGGTCTGTGCCCCTCCCATTGACCAGCCAATCACTGCCCGTAGATGCTTGATTCCAAAGCGCTCTGTGACAAGCTTGTGCTGAGCGCGAACATTGTCGTAGAATGAGCATTTCGGAAATGGCCGAAGATGCGGCTGGTTGGATGGAGACGAGGACTGGCCGTTTCCGAAGAGCGCAGGTATGATGATAAAGTACTTCTCAGGATTCAGGACTTTATCTTCTCCGATAAGCCAGAAGTTGTCGGATATCACTTGGTGATGGTCAGCATACTAGATATGTGTGTTTTGTCTCTGTCAGTATTTACATACGCCCGGAAAACCACGTGGGGTAGACAATTGCGGGGGAGCCTGGGTCTCCAAACGTCTTGTACGCAAGATGCGCATCAAGTATCTTCTCCCCACTCTGGAGCTCCCAGTCTCCTAGCTTAAAGGTCTCGTAATCTTGGTCAGTCATGTTGGTCACGAAGTTGAAGAGGTTAGATCTGGGAAAGAGCTTTGAATGTTCGGCTGATAAGGTCAGGACTAATAGCAGCGCCTTCGAGGTTCTAGTAGTTCAAAGTTCAGTGATGAGCAGCGATTCATCTACATATTTATAGTCCCCTCGATAATATCAAGGATCTAATTGGAGACACATTGCAGTGTCATGAGGCACAGGTTTGTTGGATTGGTAACACCGACGGTATCCCATGTCGCGATTTATAATGAGATCAGGGTACCTCGTCGACAAGAAGTATGCATATCTAATCAATGTACACGACAGAGCTATGGATGACCAGCAGGGATGTTCTATTGGCTGAATTAGTGGTCTACTGTTTTGCTTCACTATCAAGATGTTGAGGCATCTAATCCATACTCCATAGTCTGGTCTCCGTGCCTCTCTTTTTGGTAGACTTCGCCCATGGCGCCCAGCAAGCAGCGACAGCTCCGCACTTGGGGTGGCCTCGGGTAGCTGATCAGGTAAAATCGGCCCGGCGATCGGTAGTGAAAACATTATTTCCACGCCCCTTTGCGTGAAATATGGTAATGAAGGGTGTGGAAATTAGGAAATTATTCTATACTTGTTCCGTGGAGTTAGTGCGGGTCCAACACTCGGGACAAATAAATATCGAGGCGTCTGCCCGATCGACCGAGAGCACTTGTGCGATAAAGCTCTCTGCATTGGTTTGTAATGAGTCGCACAATCCCATATCGCGTCTTGCGAGTACACAGATCATTGCATACGCAGTTGTACGTTGTCCGAACTTGGTCACTTGCACACTGATGGGATGTCTTCTAGAGAAGGAATCCCAGCAGCAATGCTGGTGTAAAAAAGCGAAGAGGATGCGACTTGCTAATCACTGATGCAGAGGGTCTCGAGTCCAATCATATTCTCCTTGGGTGATTCGTATACCCCAATACCATCAATCTTTTCATCAATCTGCTACGATGTTCAAAGTCCGGGATGATTTCGACAAGATTCAGGCCTCCCGACCTGACTTCAAGCGCGATGCGCCGGTCACTTTCTCCCAGCCCCCGAATCCAAATTGGAAACAAGGCGACGGTGCCAATGATGGTGGAGAGAGTCTGAAGAAGAATCATGTCGAAATTGATCCATACGAAGAAGGACGACCGGTATCATCAAACTATAAGCTTTTGATCTCGGGAATTGTCCCAAGACCCATCGCGCTTATCAGCACCAGATCCAAAGACGGAAAGACAACGAACTTGGCGCCCTTCAGTTATGCTCAGGTCATCAATCACGACCCTCCTCTTTTCACTGTGGGATTCGTTGGCTCGCTTGAGAAGGCCAAGGACTCACTGAAGAATATGGTCGAGTCGGGTGAATGTGTGATCAATATCATCTCTGAGCATTTTGTCGAGGCGGCCAATGCGACCGCTATCAATGCACCGTACGGAGTCTCCGAGTGGGAGATTTCCGGGCTGCACCAAGCACCTTGCTCTGTCGTCCAAGCTGCCCGTGTCAAGGAGTCAATGTTCTCAATTGAAGGCAAGCTCGTCGAGACTAAGGAGTTTCAGAGCAGGACGACGGGTAAGACAACGGGCACTTTGGCGATTATTGAGGGTGTTCGTTTCTGGGTGAGGGATGACGCTATCAACGAGGACAAGAGCATTGTCGACCTCAAGGTCCTGAAGCCCATCAGTCGGCTCGGGGGTATCTCGTATGGGCGTACCACTGATGCCATCGAAATTCCGAGACCAAACTTCTAGATGGCTATGTACAGCATTTAAGAGGGATGGAGCTGATTTTCTGTCGCCGAGGGATAGAGGACAGAAGACAGAAACATGCTTATCGCATCATAGAATTCTTCATTCGGAAACAAGTCGAACCCTTCTTCTCATAAACCGTTCTACAGGTGTCCGGTTGACAGCTAGGCGCGTAAATCTAGCCTGTCGCTAAGGCCTTATTCCCAGTGTCCGAATTACCCGCTCAATTTCTGAGGATTGAGAGCATCTGTAGAATTTCATACGCCATGAGAGTTTGGGTTCTGATTCTGGTCAAAGCTTGGACCGCCAACATGCCAGTACAGAATTTGATGGCTCGGTTCACACCACGGTACGTGGGGAAGAAAGATTGTCGACGCATCCACCAGCGGATTTTTTTAGCTTCTAGTTCCAGTCTTCTAGGCTCGTTCCGTTGTCCGTTTGTGGAACTCGGACTCACTCCGTTTGAGTTCTTGAGTCCGTTGAGCCATGAGGAGGAGCCTAGGACCCCGGCAGGGTCGCCCCATAGGATGGACTAATCCTATTCCTGTCAACCATTATTTCCCGTCCCCAGGCTAAATACGTACTTCTTCTCCAGAGTTCGAAGTCCAGAGTCCAGATTTGGGGGATGAAGAAAACCTTCTCCCCGACGGCTGGCACCTGCAGGAACAGAACCTCAATATGGAGATCATACAACAGGCACACTTCTTGACCCTTATTAGTAGTTTCTAAACAGCGTATGAAAAGCCGACGAACCCTTACCTGGTGGGCCCGCAGAATAAACGGAACGGGGAACCTAAGGTAGTACAGAGGTACGGGAAATAAGGAAATGTTTGGTTCGATAGTTAGATATGATATTAGCTGACTACCTAGCTGTATGCTGCACCAATACATCTTCGAATCACGGGACAAGCAGATGTCGCATCCAGAACCATGGAAGGTCACATGGTGGTTCCCAATTTTTTGGTTCCCCCAGCCAGGGCGCGGAATACGGAGAACACCTTAGCTACCTATCCATGTTTCTTGCTTTTGTCCACTGATACGTATCTGCTCTCTGCCTAATTTTGTCTACCTGTATCATTTATCTTCAATACCATTTCAGTGTTGTTCCCCTATCATTTTACGTGAGATCGAGCGAACAGTCTCTGAGCGGCAAACCAGAATCATTAGCTACCTAGGTCCGGCGGCTTTTTGAGCCAGTGTGCCCAAGTCTTGCGCAAATAAGCACACTCGATCTCGACCATACTAATTCAGTACAGAAGCATTGTCGCATGAGATGAGCTACAGAAAAATAGTGGTTATAATCGCTGACTGTACGAGTAAAGATAACGTTTCACCAATACACAAACTATAGCCCTGCTGACGCCCTAAGTAGAATAGTTGTTGCGCCGTCCCCCTCACCTCCCACATCCCGACCTTGCGATCTTGCGCCCGCCACAAAGTGGGATAACGTCCATGGAGTTTTCTCTTCTGTTGGTGCTTCGTCCCATCGGCCATCCGTATCGCCGGATTCTACCAAAGTCCTAGCTTCCCTCTCCAAATCCCTTGGATCTGACTCTCGGTAACGTTCGATTGCCCCAGCGTCAGGAATAATCAGCTGCCCGATGTGACATGTGCTGTGACCACGGATGAATACTCGCTCGCAATGAGCCGCCCGTCTCCTGTGAAGAACGGCGGCAGTAATGTTCCTCCTGCAAGGCAAATACGTTTTGTCTCGAGCGATGGACAGCCCCAGCCGAAGCGCCGTCGAGTCAATGCGGCGTAAGCTTGTCTTCATGACACATGTTTTCTACGGAGCTGATGGTAACCTTTTTGGCGGCTTCTATAGGTGTCGGACGTGTCGCAAGCGCAAAATAAGATGTTCTGGTGAACAGCCAGGTGAGAAGCTGACGCCGCTCTTATACCTATCGATGCTATTACTGATAACTTGTTCTCTAGTGTGTAAAACTTGCTCGGATTATAATCATGTCTGTTTAGGATATAGCGAACCTTCTACTCATATTCGGACGCATTCAGGGAACGCATCACAAACTCCTAGCCTCACACCTCTACCCGGTGCTAGTGAGAGAACAAACCCTCGAACGGGCAAGAGTCAAAGTCCAGATGTTGCTTCACAATATAAGCAAGCCGCAGGCAGTGGCGTTGACCGGCACGCCGATCATTCAAGCTCTCAGGATGCCCTTGTGTCAAGGGAAACACCCTTGGGCAATATCCGTGAGTCGGAGCAGCATACAACCGGAGCAAGTCCGGAAAGCAGTACGTTATATTGGAGAAACCTGGTTACAATTGGTATTACTGGCTGCGTTGACTCACATTATTTTCGAAAGGCCGGACCTCCCTAAGCTCAAGCCATCGCACCCACGTTCCTTATTTTAGATATTTTGGGCCGACAGCCATTGTTCCCGGCTTCAAACAGATGGTTAGTACTTTCGCCTGGCTTTTTACTGCGGGAGCTTCCCATTTGCTTATTTCGCCTGCAGGTAGTACAGGTGCGCGGGTCTCGCAAAAGCAATACTTCGTTGTCTTCAGGTATGCCTCCAACCCACTTCATGCCTATGTACGGCCTTCTATGGCTAGTGTTTTCGCTTGCTTCTGACATTTTGAATGACACTACAGAGTCCATTTCCCCTCTTCGAAGTCCAAAGTCTGCAGACGTGGGTATCAGTCATATAAATACACTGATCGACAGCCGTGAGTTCCGAGACGCGAACACCATCCCGTTCTATGACCGAGACGATACTTTACCCGTTAGCAACCTGGTCATGCACCTTTGCGACCTGTTCTTCGTTCATCTGGGCTGCAGTTTTCCATTCTTGCAGCGAGATTGGTTTCTTCGTGATCTGAAGGATAAGAAAGTTGATACCATGCTTGTTGACGCAGTCTGTGCCTTGGCCGCAAGATTTTCGCCGCACCCGCTATTGAGTCCGCCTCAGGCGCCGTCTATCGATGGCTCAGAGTTGCAGACTGACGTGAAGAGCTCAGACCGCGGTCAGGCATTTGCCCACAGGGCAATGGGCGCCTTGGTTGACTCGCTTTCATGCCCCACACTTTCTGTTGTTCAAGCGTGTCTTTTGCTGGCCTACGAGCAATTCGGATCGAATCATGACAGTGGTCTTTGGATGTATCTGGGTATTGCCATTCGAATGGCTCAGGATCTTGGAATGCAGAAGCTGCAGGGACTGAAACACAGCTATGGGCGGAGGGGCGTGACTCCAAGTGCAGTTCTCTCTGGACAGGCAGGGAAGCTACGGGAGGAAGAGTATGATCAATGCGATGGTGCTCAAGTTGCTTCAAGCCCCAGCAGCGAGATGAAGAACGCTGAGGACCATCGCGCCTGGGAGCGTGAAAAGGTCGACACGTTCTGGAGTATTTTCTTCCTGGACCGTGTAATCTCCTCTGGTACTGGGAGGCCAGTCACGCTACGCGACGAGGAGATAGAATTATGTTTTCCGCTACAGTCGGAATCTAAATTATCAAATGGCTGGCCTGCACCGTTCCCACCACTGATTCGCATAATACACCTTTACGGAAGGGTGACGGATCTGATCAATGGTATTCAGGATGCGGACCATCTCACAACAGAGACGTTGAAGAGACTTGCTGGGATGGAAAGTGATCTGACAGGTAGTTATCCATCTTCCTCTTTCTCTTTCTCTCTCATCATCTGTTCCCCTAGTGGACTTACATATTTTTCCAGGCATCTACCAGCGATTGTCACCCAGACTGCATTTTAATGCGGCTAATTTCCAGGCCTACGTGAAAGCGAAAGAAGGAACGAATTTCATACTTCTTCATTTTGTAAGACCATTCCCAACATCTACAATAATATCGACTCTTAATCTAACATGCATGAAGTGGTTTCACACCCTCATCGTCCTTCTTCACCAACCCACTCTCCTGAATTCGTTCGGCGGTACGATACAGCATCTCTACCCAAACAGCAGAGAATTGTCGATGTCTTCAGCTAAGACAATAGCGGATATTCTATCTTTCTCTGAGCTTGTTGATGGCAAGAGCTTCATCGGCAATCCATTTACGAGTCAGCCAATGTACATCGCTGCTTGCGCTTTTCTCATGGAGAGCGCATATTATTCGTCGCCCTCTTCGAGATCTGGTTCCCCTCCGTGTCAACCACTACTCAATGGTCAGTCTAGTGGCTTCGTGATGCCAAACATGGACTCTTCGTCGGAACGGAAGTCGAGTGCTAAGCATATACTTCTCGCTTCCGCTGCCCGAGAAAACTACCAGCGGTGCTACAAAGCTCTCAAGGCACTTGAGACATATTGGGAGGGTTCTAGGTATATTCTAACCGTTCTAGATCAGAAAGCCAAGGGTATCGTTGATCCATTACTCTATACTGAAGAGGAGATGGAAAATACAGCCGAGACATTTCCACTTCCGCCCTCCGCTGCTCCCACCTGGCGACAAGCAAAGCCACCATTGAGTGCCACGGTTGAGCCAAAAATGACAGCAGGTGCTGCAAATTTCTCTGCAGATGGCAGAATGTCACCGAGGATTGACCCGGGGCAAGGTATAACAATCATGTCAATATTCCGACTTCGCGAAATGCAACAGCTAACGTATTATTTCTAGCCATTGGATGGGCTCTTACTGGAGCCACCAACTCTTCCCAACCAAACCTCAGCTTGTTATACCAGATGCCGGCTTCCCAAGCCGATTATGACTCGAATAGACCTACCTATTCTTCGCAGTATAGTCACAGCTTCCCCATGCCCGCGCAATTTAAACCGGAGCAAGGTTCGAGCCCGTATCCGCAGTCAGTCGAAACGACGCGGGCTCCAGACGGGGCAAGATCTTCATCTATTGCTAATGGACCCGCGAAATACGCTTCCCTTGCCCCTGTTGCCGCTTCCGATGCCAATCTTCTACTGGGCCTAAACACATCATATTCCAACACAACCGATAGCACATCGAATACTCAACCGACTTACACCCAGGGCCTTGCCTCTTCGTCCTCGTCTCAACTGCAACCGCAAAACCCTCATTACAGTTACACCTTGGCGTCTGCACAAAGCGAACGGCATGCAGATAGCAGACACCTTAATCCACAATCCACCCAATTACAATCGAATATCGGCTCAAACTTCGGAGGGGTCTTTATAGAAAGCCAGGATGTTGATGTGAATGCTCTCCAACAACAAGAACACTTTCCATTCCCCTTTACTGGTGAAATTCTACCGTGGCTTGAATATCTACCGCAAGATGTCCTTCATTACTTTGGGGAACAGCAAAATTACCCTCCTCTGATGAGCGCAGACGAAAATCATACCCAGCCTTCGGAATGAATCCATGTCACTTTTGTGGCATACATCTGACGACTTGTATGAATACATGACCGGTATTTTGTCGCCTATTGTCATGATTGAGTGGAAGAAAGTGACTTCCAACGTCTTGACATTGCATACGCATTCTAATTAGGCATAATCTGCTATTTACTTCGAGATCCTTTGCTTTTACACTTCCATTTAGCCAGCAAGCATTTATAAATCCTTTTTCTTGGTATACACAACCGAATCCTGGCCATGCATTGTGACTATCTCATTTGGGACAATCTATATTACACTTGGTGCAGCATACCGATCCCATTCTGTATTTCTATTCTGGATTCGATATCCTATTTCTAAGCTGAGCCCATTTGTCGATTCCAATAGACGCGACCATCCCTTGTAGCGAGCGCTGAGCATGCAGACGGCCTTATTGTTGCGGGTATAAGCTCAACTCCATTCCGACCTTCCAAAATTCTCAAATCGAATAGATGGCACTATCTATCAGATAACAAATCACTTTCAAAGCCCTTGGGGACTTTCATCTATCGAACGAAGCCTTGCGCCAAGCACTGCTGATCTAGGAGGATGACCAGCCACTAGAGCAGTAGACCGCCATATCCCCATGCATGGTTGCCCTGCACAACCAGAGGATGAAAACACCACCAACAAAGCATCAGGTGGTTGCTGTAAGGATGACCGTTTCTTCATCAGAGACAACCTCAATTTATGTCTTCCACTCAATCTTTAAGAGAACAGTTATGCATCTCCATCTTCAAATCTTTTTTGTTGATGAATTGCATGTTTAGCAGCGTTGTTTACTTATACTCCGTCCAATGAGTCGCATTCCTCATCATTAGAAGTCGCTCATCACCACATACATTCTTGATAAGAGACCTACCATCAATACTCCTTCCTCGCGAATTCCATGTATTTATCATGGAGGATATATCCGACGCCTCTCAGTTGACTGAATTTGCCAATTTAACTGCAAATAAACAGATTTTCGGCTCAAGCCCTTCAGCGGACGGACTACTCCCCTCCAAAGTGACAAAAGCGACTCCCCACGAAGATTCACCACGTCACGATGAAGAAAGACAACTGAGCGACGATGCTCATCTGTGTATTCAGGATTGCGGGTACAATTCCTCGGAATCCTCAACGCAACACTCCACGAGCGACATAGATGGTCAGGACCCGGATGATGACGACTTAGCTCCATTGGACTCGCGTGCATCCAGTCGCTCTTCAATCTCCTCAATCCCTGATTCGGTGTTAATCCACCCTCCAAGCGAGCTGAAACCTGTGATCGGCTGCGACGCAGATGAGCGAATCCGCCACCCCTGGATCAATCGAGATAGCCTCGGTCATGGCAGAATGGAGGCACAGTTCAAGTCCATACAAACAATCAGGCAACGGGAGGCTGCTTTTCGGAAGCCCAGCTCTGTGCGTGCAATGCAGATGCACACTGAGGATGAGGATGATGACGAGTTCCTGACTCCGCCCAAGCGGAGGGGCGGACCTCGGATGTCGGATATCTCGATTCGTTCGGCGGGCTCGTCTCCGCTTAAGAGATCACCTTATTACTCACCTACCGGGTCTGCGGGGAGACAGAAAGTCAAGAAGGAGTATCCGCTTGTTCTGCTTCACTGCACCTTGCTCCCTCCTTCGCTCCCTGTGCCAGGTTTGATTGGGTACCCGGACCAGAAGATACTGAGAGAGGTACTGCCTCCGGAGTACTGGAAGCGATGGAAGTTGCTGGAGGAGAAGGTTGGTTCCGGTGTGCTTCGTGACCGGGGTGTGCTCATCTCTCACCCGGAGGATATGTATGATCTGCTTGAGGAACGATTGTTGGAAAGTCTGGAACTACAGCGTCCACGGCTCCACCATGGCCACTTTCTGGGGCATGAGGAAACGGGTTCGGAGGAAGGGGATCAGTCGGCCGCAGAGGATAGTGCTACTGATGGCGAACAAGGCGAAGAGTGCCCTGATTGCGGGGGACGATTCCCTAGACACGATGCGAGTAGGAAGTGGGAGATCAAGGTCTTCGCCGCAAACGGGCTGATGAGAGCTGGTGCCTGGGCTGCGGCTTGGAAGGAGATGGAAAAGGTGGATGTGGAAGTCGGCCTTTGGCTCCCATCTGAGATCAGGCGGGAGCTGGAAAAGCGGCTTTTGGACAATGATCCTCCTCGCAGTAATCTTAGGCTGCAAGTGCCGCAACTCAGGGAGCAGCCTACAACCAATATTGGCGCAGAGCTGTATGGTCAACCGTCGCGTACGAATACGCCTACCCTATTGATTGACGAACCAACTTTATTTGTTCCTGAAAAAGCCTCCCGTCCCTCATCTCCTGCCCCAGAAATCACGACGCCAACGAAGGCTCCAGTCATGCCAGCCTCAACCTATTCTCCGAGATCAGTTGAGGAAATCGACCTGCAAACGCTGCTCATCAACTACATCCGGGTACTGGCTAGTGACCGGCGCAACGTGACAATCGTGCTTTTGAGTGTGCTGGTGGTATACCTTGCCCTTGGGGTCAAACCTCAAACTTCCTCTTCAGACCTTCGACCGTTCCCTAGGGATATGTTTGAATCTATGCCTGCGCTCTCATCTACCGTTTCACCGGAACAGCATACAACTCCAAGCTGGACAGAACAGCCGAGTTTCTCTACTGTACTCTCTTTAACTGCAGAAGCACCTGCCATGACTGTTGAAACTTCCACCCTTCAAAAGCAAACTGTGAGGGAAGCGTCCAGCTCGAAGACTTCCCAGGCTATTGCTTCAGCGGCTTCCGAGTCTGTTACTTTATCGTCCTCCAGCACTGCTGCTCCCACCCCTCAGATTGTTGCTTCAGCATCTTCTAAAAGTGTTGTTGACCCGAAAAGTCCCGATGCTAATTCGCAGGGGATAGAGACTTCTCCTGCAAGTCTAGATCTGGTGATTGAGCGATCTGAATTCACGAGTCCGGCGATGAGGTTAGCAAAGGATGAGATAGAGACAATTGCGTCGAAGGATTTGGCGGCTGAGACTTCTGCGATGACTACTGATTGAATGAGTTGAAGGATACTTTGGCAAAATACTGATGATGATACGACATGATGGATTCGATTACTGCGATGCTTATGACTGCTCTTTCATTGGATCTATGTGGAGTTTGTTCCTTGATAGTTCATCTTTTCCCCGTTCAGAGCGTGCATTCAATGTTTGTTTGAGGTTATTTAGCATATTTGATCCACAGATTGTCAGCCATTTGCCGACTTTACTCACCATCTTAGAGCCAAACGAATTTTATTCAATGCTCTCGGAAGCACTTTCATAGACCACGAATCCCATCGCACCTCAAAGAGGGCTTTCCAAATCACATGTCAGCTACGTCAGCCCTACCAACTGCTTAGTCATTGAGTCACCGCCGTCGGTCGGACCGTAAAAGTATCCATCGGATGACTCGCCATCACAACAACTGCATCAAGCACAACTTCTCTCCTTCCGTCTGCATTTTCCTCAAAAAGATTTTACCTTTGAATTATAGCCAGCGCTCAAAATGGGAGGAAAGAAAGCTGCCGGAGAAAACTCCAAGAAAGCTGCCGGACAGGCTCGTGTATGTACCCTAACCCCGCCCCCGCTTTTTTCTGCCATCACCACGAGCATGTTCTATATCGGTTAAGGGAAGCTTGAGACTGACGTTCCACGATCTGCATACAGAAAGCCGAAGCTGCCGCAAACAAGAAAGCAGCCGAAGATGCCAAGCGAGCCGCCGAGGAGGACAAGGTGTGGCAGAAGGGCGCAAAGAGCGGCTCGAAGAAGTGAGCGCCGACATCGCGTCTCCTTTGCACGTCGTGATAGACAAGTAGTGGCTTGCTAACGTTATCTGAAAAACAAAAATGCAGGGAAGACGCAGAAGCCAAGAAAGCCGAAGCCGCTCGCAAGAAGGCCGAACGGGATGCCCTCCTCGCCGCCGAAGAAGCTGCTCAGCCCTCCAAGCCCAAGGGTGCCGGCGCCAAGCAAGCACAGAAGAAGACTCGCGGTCTGGATCTGTCGCAACTGGACGATGAGCCCGCCGGCCGCAAGGGTGCTACGCTCAACGCGTCGGGTATTGATAATGCGCTGGATGCGCTCTCCCTAACCGGCAAGGATCCGTCGAAGGTTGACCGTCACCCGGAGCGCCGTTACAAAGCTGCGTATGCGGCGTATGAGGCGCGCCGGCTGCCAGAGATTGAGCAGGAGAACCCCGGGTTGCGGAGGCAGCAGCGCATCGAGCTCTGCAAGAAGGAGTTTGACAAGAGCGAGGAGAACCCGTTTAACCAGATGCATGTGGCCTTTGACGCTAGTCGGGAAGAGATTGCTGCTGCTAGGGAGGCTGAGAGAAGGAAGATGGAGGCGAGACTGGCTAGTAAATAAGCTGCTCATCTTCAACTTTCTCAAACCTTCCTCCCGCTCTTCCGGCCCTTTGCCGAGCATCATTGGGCGAGGTGCGCATATCTCTAGGATGCAACTCTCGGCTTTTACGAACTATACCCGGGCTTTCGCACCCAAAAATCGATAGATCATGGATATAACATGATGATGATTGTGGAAGGGGCTTGAGCTTGGACTGCAAACAGCAGGCTTTGATGATATCTGACGAATCATGTCTTGAAATAGAGCACCTTGCATATCAGGTATCTCGATCGTCACGTCGATTGGATAGATTTTGTGGCTTGTGACTTGGTGAAAACAAAATTGCGAGAAATATTTTGTTCATATCAGAAATGTTCAATTTTGTATAATTTCCTTGGGAAAGCTAGAGTTGCTTTCCGCGGGCATGTCATAATGGTATCTCATGGCAATCTAAATAACCAATACAGGATGGGTAGAAAGGGAGAAACGATGAAACACAACGTCTTTATCCCATCAATGCTCGCACATCCCAAACATACAGGCTTTCATCCCATCCTACGCTGGCGCACCATCCCTCACTGCCAAAAAGACACCAATCAACGCCGGTGACAAACTCGGTATGCCGATTCATACGCCCCAGCTCCATGCCCATTACCGGACCGCCGGGGCCGCCACGCATGGGGTCGGCATCACCCATAGGTCCTGCGGTGGACTGATCGCTCCACGCGCGACAGGTCATATCGTAGCTACCGCTGAGTAGTATATTGGAAAGGTGTGGCGACCAGGCCAGTTTCCGGACCGCGTACTCGTGTCCCATCATCACCGTCTGAGGCCCCTGCTGTGGGGCACGGATGTCGAAGGTCCGGATGGTGCGGTCGACCCCGGCGGTCGCTAAGATGGACGGTCGGTACTTGTTCCAATCATGGGTGAGGACTTCGGCTGGAGCGCATGCGGCGGGAGGAAGGCCGGCTTTACCGGGAATGGGCGATGCCGGTGCAGCATGGATGGGAATCTGGAGGGTGAGGTGGTTAGATGCGGAGGCGGGCGTGCGAAGATCGAAGATGCGGACGTATGAGTCGGAGGTGACGCAGGAGAGTATATCGGGAGAATGAGGCGAAAAAGCCGCCGAGTAGGTGCAGCTGTGTGTAGGTAGGGTGAACAGAGAATGCGGCCGATGCGGCGACCAGACGCGGACGGTGCCGTCCCAACTGCTCGAACAGAATGTGTCCTTGGCTACGAGATTCCAGTGAACACTGAAGACCTCACGATTATGTTCTTTCCAGTTCTGGATGGGGAAGTCTTCCAAATTGCAGTCGAAGAGCTTAATGCTGCCATCGCCGGAGGCTGTGAGAACTTGATTCTCGTGGATTTCGGACCAGGCGAGATCGTAAAGAGAATCCTGTGTAGTAAACCTGGTGACTTTGTCAATCTAAGTTCCAGTTGTGACTAAGTCAACAAGGAGACACACCATTTGGCAGGTACGACACCATTCGGAGTCAGCTCTAGAATGAACAACCGGCCATTTCCTACCAGCCCAAAATTGGCCGACGCGGCGACGGCCAACCGGTTGTCGAAGAATGGGGAGTACTTGACTGCGCAGCCGTTGTAGCCCTCCGTGCGAAAATGAAGCATAGTGGAAAAAGGGGGGTATAGTATTTGAAATATAAGAATTACAATAAACCGAAGAAAGGACCGGTCATGAGGGTATCATTGTGGTTTGCAGCAGAACACCAGAAGGATGAAGTTGAAGATTGCGGGGAGAATCGCGAAGAACCGAGGTCTGATGGGGGACTAATTTAGTGAGGAACAAAAAGCAGATCCCACCATCGTCATTCCTTGAGGATTTGATCACCGCTGCAAGAACGGCTTCAGGACAGCAATTGTCTTCTTATCTACACCATAGACAATTTATTTGCTTCAAATGATCGCCTGTTTGTTGTTGTCCACTGTTTGTCCTCGTCATCGATGTCACTCTGACGACAATGACTCTGGATTAGCAGAAGCTTCAGTCACATCCTGATCGATGAGTATCTATCTACTGACCACCATTTGAGAATGCCAATCTACAAACCAGTAATACATCCAGTGATATACCTTTGAAATGGCAGAACCTGAGAATTGGCACTCTCCTGCCAACATGTTTCTCCAGAAAGAGGTCTATCGCCTCGGGTCAGAACCCGGACTCCGATCCCTTCCTCCTGGCCCCGAACGCGATTTCCTCACCCTCACCTGGGGTCCCATCGTGTATCGCACTACATATGCGCCAGACTCACAGCGTCTGATACCGATATTCCTCCGAGCACTCAACGAAGAAATTCAAAAAGCCCTCTCGAGATGTCTACCAGGAAGCCCCGAACAGGTCCGTCTACTCGAAAGAACATACGCCTCTAAAGTGTTCAACTCGCAGGAGGAATACCACGGAGTTGACGAGGAAATTGTCCGGGAAGCCTTTCATGATTGGAAGGTAGCTCTAGCGTTGCCCGCGATAGAACTACCTATCCGATTGCGGATGTGCCTGATGATAGATGATGGAGTGCTTTCGCATCTTACAACGACTGTGGATATGTCGTCTATGATGGAGAAGGATGCGGACTACTCCAGCTGTCCAGTCAAGGTCATAGAGGAGAACTTTCCTGACTTATATCGCCGTAACTCGAAGCCAACAAAAGAAGATTATCCTGGCTGGACAACAGTGGCATTGTCGGCACTCGTGGAGTTATATGACGGTCTGCGACGGGGCAGAAATCTAGAGGACTATCATAAATCTGGTCAGGTCTACTTGGGTAACGGTGACTGGAGTTCAGTATGAAAGCGTGATGGACCATAGAAGTGTATATTGAGCTTCCTAGAAGTACTCCATTAATAGGTATTGAATAATTAGATGCCGTTGAAAACGCATTCTGATTGGTCATATCGAGAACAATCACGTGCCCTTATACGAATTAGTCAGGTTTGTAGCTTCATCATCTTCGTGTTTGCTGCTGCACCAGGACATCCTCTTTGGCCCATTCTGAAGGTAGATGGCTGTCAAATGGATCGTTTCATCGCGAAAAAGCGGCCCCGGCTGAGTCCGTCGTCGGTTCAGCAGCAGACGCTGCCTCCTGACGAGGATTCCACCGACATGAAATTGGCGATACTACTTTCACTCTTTCCGGACATAGAACAAGATGCTCTACTGGACATTCTCATCTCGAGCGGCGGATCTATTGAAGACGCGTCTGCCGTGGTCACCGCTCAACGCGCGTATAAGCCAGCCAAAAAGAGAGCACTTGGTGCATCAGCGATCCAGACGTCTTTGACCTCACATATCACAACTGAGGCGGGTTTGCCACCAAAAAAGCAACTCACCCGGAAAGGAAAGACACTACATCTTTTCTCGCCAGAAGATGTTGCTGCTCATACTCCGTGTACCATCATCCATAATTTTTTGCCCCAGGATGAAGCAGATGCGCTCCTACTGGAACTTCTGGATGAGTCGAAGCACTTTTCTAGGTACAGGTTTCAGCTGTTTGATCGTACAGTTGAGAGTCCTCACACGAGCAGCTTGTACGTCTCTACTCCCGAGGAGCTTCGACAACAAACATCGGAATACACCTATGGAGGCGGTTTCCGTTCCAACGTGCGCCAGCTTACTCCATACTTGCGCGCCGTCTCTGCCAAAGTCCAGCGCGCAGTGAACGACGAGATACAGAAGCGTATCCAAACGTGCTACCCAGATGGGGAAAAGCTCAAGTATCAGTCACCTAAGGAGTGGGTGCCCAACGCGGCATTCGTCAACTGCTATGATGGTCCAACAGAAAGTGTCGGCTATCACTCGGATGAGCTGACTTATCTTGGTCCGCGAGCTATTATTGGAAGTCTGAGCTTAGGCGTGGAAAGGGAGTTCCGGGTGCGACGGACCGTGGCGAGCGATGACGATGAGAGGAATGAGAGTGAAGTGTCACCCACGGGGTCGACAGCGGATTCTCCGTCCAAACGGAAAGCGACGTCGAAGGGGACTGATGTTCGTGCTGATGCGCAGGGGCAAATCTCCATACACCTTCCGCACAATTCCCTCCTTGTTATGCATGCCGAGATGCAGGAGGAATGGAAACATGCTATTGCACCCGCGCAGACTGTTTCACCACATCCACTGTCGGGTAACCGGCGCATCAACATCACTTATCGATGGTATCGGGATTCTCTCCACCCGCGTAACATTCCGCGATGCCGTTGTGGCACACATGCAATCTTGCGGTGTGTACAACGTAAACGTGAGAACAGGGGTAGATACATGTGGATGTGCTATGCAGGATATGAACCAGGAAAGAAAGGTTGCACGTTTTTCCAGTGGGCCGAATTTGATGACGATGGCGAACCTCTTTGGGAGATTAAACCCACGGAGGACGAAGCCCCTACGTTGCGCAACTTCATTGAAGAAGACGACAAACAATGAACAAGCGGAACCCATTGCAATTCCCATAGCATTCTGGAAATGCGAGTCTATGAATTTTTCCAGTCCCTACGCATACAATGTCCCTATAGGGTACGTGCTTGCTATGCGGTGTCACAAGGGATTCATGCATTGTGAGGTTCCATCAACACTGAGCATTGCAGCTTCGCTTCAGCACTGAGAACGTGAGCTGAAAAGGTATAAATGCTGTCGAAATCCTGAACTATCTCGGTCTTCACAACACAATTGACAATCGTGGCTCAAGATGGCACTTCGTTCGATCCTCATTGTTCAAATTCTCTGCCTAGGCGCAGCCAACTCGGCTGTCGTCAAGAGGTGGCCGTCCAGCATCTCTCCGACTGGTCCAACCGATCCAAACGTTGCTAGCAACTGCGGCTATTGGGTGAATGACATTGGAAAGAATGACCAATGTTCTGACCTAGAAGAGTATTTCAACATTTCACGGGAAGAGCTGGTGGACTGGGTAAGTACTGGACCACACATGTGCTAGCCCATGATTCTGATGGCGAGTTCAAGAACCCTTCTCTCGGGGAGAACTGCCGACTTCAGACTGGCCATTCCTACTGTGTTGCTGCATCAGACATGATGATGCCGTCGGCAGATTCTGCCAGAGAACCGAGTCGTATGGACCTCGCAAGTCCAGCCGAGGTTGGCGATCTGCCCTCTCCCACACAGGGCGGCTTGGCTGCCAACTGCAATGCTTTCTACAAAGTGAAGAAGGGTGACAGTTGCTGGTCCATCATAAACAATTTCGGTAATTTTTCGATCTACCAATTCTACGGCTGGAACCCGTAAGTCGAATCGATCACTCAGGCAACAAGACAAAAGCTGACATTGAACAAGGTCGGTTGGCCACTCTTGCGAGCGCCTATACCCCGACTACTACGTATGCATCGGCGTTCAGAAAGAGGAACCCCCAGTGGCTACGCCCACCAACGTCCCTGGCCCGGTGCTGACGGGTACTCCAGCAAATTGTAAGTCCGAATTGAGCCCAGCAATTATCTGGTCTTTCTGCGAACTGTTCTCTGACAATATTGCTCGCCACAGGCAATAAGTATCACAAGGTGGCGCCGGGTGACAACTGCTGGGCCCTTGCAAATCAATATGGAATATCTTTGGAACAATTCTACCAGTGGAACCCCGCTGTAAAGCCGACATCATGCCAATCTCTGTTGCCAGATTACTACGTCTGCGTCGGTGTCGCTGGTATGTTGCTTTTGCCCGCACCCACTGATTCAGCTGCTCCAGCAATGGACTTGTTATCTGACTGAAATAGAACCCCCTGCCCCCAAACCGACACAAGAACCGCCGCAACCCCCATCTCAAGGCCAGCCAATGCCACATCCAATTCTTTCCAGGCTGCTTAGAATGCTGCTCTAGGATTCACCGGCGTCCGCACGACTCATACGGGCCACTCGGTTCCGCCGGATGGCGAGAGTGAGATATGACAATAGCCATCGCCCTTGGTCGCAACAGTGTCTGCTTTCCCAATGTCTTCCCCATGCGTGATTTTGTATGCAGCTTTGGGCTGCGGTGGGAGTGCAGTGTATACTTTGCTTCCAGTTATTTGATTTTAGTTGCACTTATTCTATCACGGCATTAATAAACTCATCCGGGCGAGTAATCACTATCTATTGTCATAGTAAATTCCCGAATATATAGGACTGCATGCTCTAGATAGGATTCTGTAGAATTCTCCTGCTACAGCCAAGTATTTTCTGAGATTATGTTCTCTACGCCGTGCCCTGTGGTAGTTGATGAATGTTTGTCTATCAAATGCAGTCTTAGACTAGATAGAAAGCATTTGCGGAATTGTGCTGGGATGAAGTCGGGGTAAAAATATTCAGTGTCAAGAGAGCCATAACTCTTGACCAGGACATCGAATACTCTGTAGTTCTGCCTAAATGATGTATGTATGTGAAAGGAAGCAGCAGCTATCCCGGTGAATACTTAACAGTAGAAAACCGTGCAATGATCTGAAGAACAAGAAACTGGTTATAGATTTTAATAAAGCGGATGTTACATAACGACAGCGTTAGTGGTGTAGCGGTTAGCATTATTGCCTTCCAAGCAATAGATCTGGGTTCGACTCCCAGCTAACGCACTTCTTTTTTTTCTTTTTCTCTCTTTTCGTCTGCCGCGTTTTTCATACCATTCTCGTCCTTTCGTTTGCTAACGACGTCCCCGAGCATCATTTAGGTATCTGTCAGATTGTAGGTAATATCATAATATGATTATGCTGGTAATCTGAGCATGTAGAGGTTAAACTGGGACATATTCATACTATATCCATGAATGTATGTGTTTTTCTATGTAAGGAGCGACAAGACCAGAAGTTATGTGCATTCTGGTCAACTAAGACTAACTAGAATAGGCAAGACAAGCAAGCGTAAAATATACAGTCTGATACCAAAGATACAGTGCTTCGACAGTATCTTATCTACGCAATTTAATTTACAGACCAGAGTCTACGACCAGGTTTCTTGGGAGGTTCGAGGTGATAGCAGAACCCAGCCTGGTTGAGCGGCTCTGCTGAAGCCATTGGTGATGCTGTGGTCAAGCTACTAAAGGGCGTATCGTGAGGACTCCTTTGCTAAGGTAGCAACATTGACTTGACCATTTCATCGACAGATCTGACGTGCGGGGTTATGCATTGTCTTTGCTTCTCAGAATACGGGGGATACGAAGGACGGAGTACCCGTAAGAGACTGTTACTGGTTGTAGTCACTACAAGACAGCAGCGGAGTCATTAGAGATTTGAGCCCAACGCAGGCTGCGTGACGACGAGTCTTAACGTTCGCTAGACTGAGTCTGGGCTCCATGACCCTCGTCTGTCACAGTTGTTTTGACGCCGCTCGAAGCTGGGAGTCATTAAAAGCATACCCCTCCCCTCCCCCTCCCAAGTCGCAGCGACCTTGTCGTCTGGTTGATAGCTGCAATCGGTCGTCCCCTCTTTCTGGACTGCGGATCTTCTCTTCCCAGTGGACAATTGCAGAAGTAAAGAGAAGTGTGTATCATCTCAGATGAGAGCTTGAGTGGGAAACGTTCAGAATCCACAGCTATCACATTATGGAAGGGTATGGAGTGCTAATTCGTTCTATTCTTGAGGGTCGAACTCCAGTATACTTGGATTGAGGCCGGACTTCTGCCCGGACATCAGTCAGAGAATAACCTTGTCACCTCCGACCATTGTCGTTTCTCATCCCTCCTTAGCTTCAGCAGAAGGTCCACCTCTTTCGAGGACCATAACATGCCCTTCCTGGAGCTCCCATGGGACTCACCGCAATCACGCAGATATCGTTTGATCTCAGGCGGGTGAGTTAATCGACTTACTGACCGCATATCTCTGTCGTCAGATGTTATTAATCCAGAGCCAGGAGTGCAACGTAGTAGTGCGCCTTCAAATAGCCAAGAAAGAAATTGCAAATGTTCATCAGTTGGGCGGCGGTATAGATATCTCCTGTAACTGAGATTGAGAGCCAAACGATGTACATGCCCGAGTCTTTACATTCATATGCAAGCAAACTTCGGCCGGTGGCGTCGCTGGAGGTGATGCTTAGGCAGGGCCTAGAGTGAGTTCATGTGCGAGTTCTTTGGAGCGGTTCACTCGAGAAAGGAAACGTCTGTCATCTAAGGCATGATTGCATTTGTCTTTCTTTTTAGCCTAGCCTAGCTATGATCGTCCCTGTGCCTGTTGCAGCAGTTTGACCACCGACTCATGTCCCGGGGTTGAAACCCACTCCCCACGAATCGCTTCCTCCCTCGTAGCATAATCTAACGGGGAAAAGCCCGAAGTATCTGTAATGGAAGGATCAGCGCCCGCGTCGAGCAGCAACTTCGCCATCGCCGGCAGGCCTGACCTGGCCGCACCGTGGAGAGCCACGCCGCCACGAGGTCCTCGTATGTTTGGTTCTGCTCCAGCACGCAACAGGACCTGCGCGATTTGCTCTCTGTCTATGGTAGCAGCGTACATCAAGGGCGTCATTCCCGGGCGGTCTGCCCCGTTCACGTCGGCTCCGTTTTCCAGCATCAGTTGCACGAGTTCCGTCTGGCCCCCAAACACTGCGGAGTTCATAATGCGCTGTCCAGTCCCATATGCCACATTCGGATCGGCCCCAGCCTCCAAAACAATCTTCGCGCACTCGGTCTGTCCACGCAGTATTGCATTGTGTAATGGGGTTTGCCCTTCCGCTCCGAGGTCCACCTCTCCGTTCTCCGGGGCATCGATGTCGGCGCCGGCATCGATGAGAGTCTTCAGCAGTGCAGCCTGCCCGTTGGTGCAACATATGTGCAGTGGGGTGCGGTCCTCTTTGTCTCTTGCCGAAGGGTCAGCGCCATGAGCCAGGAGCAGCTGCACCATGGTTATGTCTTGCTCGGTCAGGCAAGCATAGTGCAGGGGGGCTCGAAAGTGCTTGTCCGTCGGGGATGGATCGCATCCCGTCGATAGCAGTTCTCGAACAATGCCATGGTGGCCTTTTTTGACCGCGATGTGGAGCGGTTTCTGACCGGCGTTGTTTCCGACCATGCTCTTGGCTGCGGTGGTTGGGCTCAGTCGGCTGATCACATTGTCAATGTTGTACTCTGCCACCAGATGAAGCAGGGTGTTGCCTTCACTATCCACAGATCTTAGATGAGCATGGTTCAGCAAAGGTGCGATAGCTGGTATGGCATGTAGAAGAAGGAGGAGGTCCTGAGGGTCCAGATAGTTGGCAATAAGAAGGATGATCTCACTTGGTAGGCGAGGGAGGCGTTTCGGCTCCATATCATGGCTTTCTTCTTTTCATTCACATGAGTGATTATGTTGAGTAGATCATGCGAGGAAAAATTACATGGGATATAAATGGGGATGATAGATGATAGATAGAGAGAGTCTGACAAATCAGCCTGGTCATCATAATCATTCTCTGGAATCAGCCTTGCCAGTGTTGGCATGATCGAAGCGACTTTATCCTGGCGAAACACCGACCCCACTGTTGGTTTGCATTGCCACAGGTATCCTGCGTAGGAATTGTAAGCATAAGAGAGGCTTTAAGGTTGAATACTGTTCGTATAGGCTAAGCTGCCAGTGGCTCGTGGGGAAATGAAGTACTAATAGCCAATGATTATATGAACAATGGCCAATCTCAAGACAAGTTTAAATTGCATCATTTAGTCCAACATTCGACACTACACTCTTGCAAAATCATCACTGGTAGATCCAACAGATATAGCTATAAAAAGACCAACAGAACAACACAGGATGAAACAACCTCGATGTGACAGGATGATCGGTTCAGTCTCGATGATTCCCTGCGCAGCCGCCGCTACCATTCTAAGGGCAGTGTCCAGACCAGCGAAGATCCTTGTTAGGATTAATATCCGACACTGCTCTCTTCGCATACTTCAAGAGATTGATGCCGGAGGGACAAGTCGCAACGCGGCCGCGCTTGGTGACTGGTGTGGCCCCAACCTTCTGGGGGTCAATGAACCCGTTGGCGGCTTGGGTGACGGTCAATGAGCCGGAGTTTGCCTCAGCCCAGCGTCTGATGATCGTAATCACTGCATTAATCACCTCTTCCGTTGGAGTTTTCCCTTCCTTTGCGAATATGGCAAAGCCGACGTCGTAGCCGCTGCAGCAGACATGTTAGCTAGACATACCGACGAGCGGGAATATCAGAATCCTGAAAGGCGAATGCTGATACTGACTTGTTGCTGAATGGGGTGGCATCCACAATGCCTCCCTCGAGAGCTTTATGGACAAAATCCCATGCTAAGAGGCTGACTCGCTCGAATGCAATCTGCTGCTCAAGGTAATCCCTGAAGTTTCGCAACATGACTCTCCCCAGCCCATTTATACCGACGCTGCTGGAGAAGAAAGCATCATAGATTCCCTGTTGAAGTTGCTGAAAGAGGTCAATTGGAGGACAGGACCATGAACTTTCTAAAGTAAGGGGCTACTCACAAGTCCTGCCATGAAAAGAAACCGGCCTTGGGGAGACCACTGCAGCGTCATTGGGCCCAGAGCGCGCTGTTCCAAGGCGCTCACATCCCGGACTTCATGGACCTCAAGTCCGGCCACGCTGATATCGTTCTCCGATGGGAGGTTTTGCACTGGGTTTGGTAGCGCAATGACCGATGTGAAGGTTGCAAACTACCACGTAGCGTTAGCACTCGAAAGAGAAGTACGACGCTGCGGGAAACATACAAGCAAGAAGAGCTTCTTGATCAGGACCATCTTTGCGAGTTCTTTTCTCTGCAGGAATCTTTGAGTGAGCCAGTAAGTAAGACTGGTTTTTGCAAAACGGAATGTAACTGATTGTTGAAGTCGAAACAACTGCGTAGACCAGCAGATTGCTGCCCTTATATGGCTACCTTTCGTCCTCCTCTAACAGAGATTGTCCCGTATACCTTATTCCTTCTCTTCTACCAACATGTATAAAACAGAGAAATCACGCAATGTATTCCTCCGTACATTGTTGTTCAGCAGCTCAGCCTCTTTTGGGGCAGAAGGATGAGTTTCGACTGTGCTGGTTATAGTTGGGTTTTGGGGGCCCAGACACGAAATGATTCTAATAGATCATGAAACCTTGGAGATAACCAATTGAGACTGAAACTGTTAGGGTAGATACAACAAAGCGGGCTTGGAGGACTACATCCAACAAGCATGTGTCTTCTGAATGCACGCCAACACTCTATCTGAGATCCAACGTCTACAGCGCTTTGAGGTCCTACTCGCCATTCAGCCAGTACACCTGCAGAGAAAGACCTTGAAGCTGTCAGGGGCGGGTATAAGCCTCAGTTGGGGACTGTTATGGGAGCTGTGCTTTGCTGAAACGGCACAATCGCCAATTGATCTACCAACAGCCGTCCTTGCGCCTTCGTACAGGGATCCTGGACACGATTGAGATGAGCTCAAGGTGAGTTCCTCGTGTCTTCTTGAGGTCAACCTAACAGTCCGAAATTAGCCTCGCCAGACATTCGTTGATCCTTTTGGGGCTTTCTGGTCATTGCTTACGGGTACTCAAGATCTAGCCTTGGAGAATTGTTCATGTTCGACGGATTTAGGTAGGAGAGCAGACAAAACGCCTTGAGCGATGGCTCGCAGAGCAAGTATAAGAGGGCTCAAGATCAGCTGGTAGCCCTTCAAGATCAACAATCCAATTCAGAAACTCCTCGTCCTTCAATTGTCACCCCCAGCCTACCGCCAAAGCACCTATTGCCATTACCAAGATGTTCATTACGAAGCTTCTACCTGTACTCCTTTTGACTTTTGGAGCATTTGCTTCCGCCGAACCTGGACGGAATGTGCCCATCTCCGATGCGGAGTGGGAGGCCCTCAAGGAGGCCGGCCTCAAAAGGCGCGCTGATATCAACAAGCCCATAACGGACGTGGAATACGCAGCTCTTGAAGCTGGCGGTCTCACTACCAGGGGTCTGAACGAGCTTGAAGCTCGTGATCATACTATGAACTGTGGCCACAGAGTCACCGGAAAGGGAGGGAGCAATGGCCATGGGAAATGGGTTCCTGTGGCTCAATTCAAGACACTCGCACGCAGCTTTTGTATGATCACATCTTTCGACCTTATCCTTGTGGAGTTTCGGGTCACTGACTAGAGCAAATGCTAGGCGATGCGTACGTTGGGACGGATATCGCCAAGGGCCATGAAACGTCAGATACATACGGTGTCACACTTAGCAATGGAAAGGCCGGAAATGTCGTCTGTATGTCTATCCATCTGTTCTTCTCAAGGTAGGGACTAACTCTGGGACGTAGTCGCGATCTACAACACGGAATACAATGATGCTTGGATCCTCAACTCCGATACTTGCTACAATGCCATGATTGCACCTCTGGGTAACCATGCTAAGCGCGATGTATCCTTGGGCAAGAGGGATAACTGTTGGGGATCTAAGCACAATGACTATGAGGGTGGCTATTATAAGGTGGACAAGATTGGTGCTTTTGGAAGCGAGGTCTATGCTTCTGGTTAGGAGATCTTGCATTGGGAGAGGCTGTCCTCCTAGCTCCATTTTCTTATGAGTTGGCTTGCCCTGTCCGTTTCTGATCGTTCGTGGTCTTCAATTTGCGGCTTAGATGGTTTTCGAAGAATCAACAAGCGTATTTGTTCTCTTTCATGGTGTGTTTAATGCATCCTATCATCATCTTCTACTTGGCATCAGTTTGCTGCCGCCGAGGGCTTCTGCTCTGATAATCTACATGAGCGCCGTCTTGCAACGATCTGGCTGCTAGATGAGGGAAATCTACATCATCTTCAAACAACCTCCAAAGACTGAGACACAAATGACCGTCACCCTTGCCTTGCCACAGAAATATTCGGCTTGGGCCATTGTTCAGTCAACCCTAACAACCATCTCAGACCGTTGACACAATCTTGTTGCGCTTGTCTTGACACCTTCAATTGAGGCGCATATACCCAAAAAATATGCGGCAGCGACTTCGACTTCGTCAGACATTTCTTCTCACAACGATCGACAGAAGCATACCTTGTAGATTGATACACGCACTTCGATATCTGCGTTTTGAAGACCTCGCGCATAACACACTGCGTCGTCGCGGAGAATATCGACATCACAGATCTGGATGTACGTCTTTGGCAGCCCGTCAAATCGGCCCCAGAGAGGATAAGCCTCTGGATGTGCTCTCTCTGCACATGGAACCCCAAGCAGATCTGGAGAAGAGAAATGTTAACAGCCATACAACCGAGTCTTTACGGTGAACGAACCATGGTTTGCTGCCATGCCTTGTCTGTCAAGCTTCTCCGTCTCCACGTTCTCCGTCCACGACTGGTGTAAATACCTGAAACACGGTGGGATCCACGCCGCATCCGTGCCGCGTACAGTCACCGGTGCGCGGAGCAGGACGCCGCTCAGAGTGATGCTCGCAGCAGCAGTTGCCTTCTTCGGATCTCGCAGCCAGTCCCTCGCCTTCTGCGAGACGATGGCGGCGAGTTGTCCGCCTGATGACGTTCCACTGATCACTACTCTGACAGGAGGGCAGTGCTTCGGCAGGACGGTGGAGAGGTTGGTTACTATGCACTCAAATGCATCCCATCCGTCGTTGATGGGGATAGGATACTGATGCACCGGGCTGAGCCGATAGTCCACGCTGATGACAGTGCTGGGTCCGCCGAGTGCCATGTGCCTGCACGAGACTTTTGTTCCCCGTCAGTTATTTTTGCCCGTATGTGAGAGTGTGTCACCTACTATCTTCCGTTTCAAGAGAGCCTTGCACAAAGCCTCCAGAGTGGTAGAATATGACAACTGCATCGGATGTGTGGTCTTTCGGGGTGTAGATACGAATGGGAATCCGATGGTTATCCCTGGCTGGGACAGTCGTGTCAAAGCTTGATACTCGTTCAGCACATACACGACCTTCTGGAGAAGAGAGGAAACGCTCGTTCCGGCTCTCCTCGTCATGGCTGACAGTGGGATTCTGCGAGAGAAATGCAGTCCACTCGGAATGGAGCAAAGACATCATACAGTATGTGGTAGATTACTCGCTGATGCTGGTCGCAGAGAAGAGATATTAGCGCTGGTATCTGACAAGGCATCGCAGACTTGGAAATAGAAGCGGGGCTTAGGCAGCATGTTAACATTTCTCGTATTCTGTAGTTTGAGCCCACTCGGAGATGGCGAGACTATCGAATGGGGGCCATACCGAGATAGACTCGCCAAAATATATTCCGTACATCACTTCCACTCGTACTCTCCTCTCATGTGAGTTCAGTCGTGCCTATTCTCAAAAGCAATAGTGATTATTAAATGCTGCGAGAGTCAGTTGTTCTTAACTAACCAATTTTAACAGAAACCATGGCGCAGAGCGATAGACAAATAATAGTATCAACTCAACTACCACTTTAACCTTCTATTCCTTAATAAGACCCTCCTTGGCCCCTTTGAAGGTACGCTCAATATATCACTAGTGTTGGAGGTCAGAGGAAGGATCTGAAAACTTGATGGTTTATATACAGGATGAGCATCAGGTTGATTGGAAACCAATCTGATTCTCTCCCTCAACCTCAGAAAAGTCATTGGTATCACAGATACCAACCAGACATATCAGAGAGATCATGCGACGCCCCGCTTTGCGCGAGATTCCACCCAATATAAATAAGTTTTCTTATCCGGGATGCTCCAATGCTCCCAATCAACCAGGTAGCTGTCAGAGGAGTCAGATATTGGTCCGAGTCAATGAAGTCCTAATGTGGTACACAGAGGAGAACTGACCATTTGTTACCTTGCTTGTCCCAAACGAGGTTACGCATTGCCTCATCCTCATGTACCCTTCCGCAGTGGACTGTCTCGCTAAAATTACCATCAGCCTAGTTCGTCCATTCTAAAGAAGCTGAGTCTCGTAGTATCCATGCTCTCTGATTTTGCTGTCCAGCCTCCACACTGAACCGGAGGGGAAAGAGAACTTTGCACCGATATATTCATCGTCTTCGAACTAGATGATGTCTGGTTCAATAATCATGTTGACATAACTATCTTGATGCGCAAGATTGAAAGGCTTCTGCGGTGAAAGGAAGAAATAGCAATGCTGCAACTGGCGAAAACCAGACAGATGGAGAAAAGAGATTCAATGTACCTTGGCGAAAGGGTTGCAGAACAGTCACGTATGGCACAGTAGCGAGCGAGGTCAAGTAATTAAGCTTCTCACTCTTGATGCATGTCCAGCCTCCATAGCCTTCTGAGTTCTGACATGCAGAAGCTGTCTGCGACAATATTGTTACTCGACCGTATTTCGCATGCAATGAGTATAATTGTTATTGAATGTTCCTGATTGCTGAAGCCCAACGCCAAGCAGGGGCTGCCGGGCTACCTTTTCATTGGTGTTCCGGGTTTATTTTCCTAGACCCGGATCGTCCTTGATCCACTTGTGCCTCGCTCGGTCGTCTCCGATAGTGCATCAGTTGGTACACGCTGAGTCTACTCTGTATACCGATTCACCCGAGTCTGTTATCCTGAAAAGAGTCAGGCAGCGATCTCAGCGACCTGTCAGGCGACGCCAGCCTCTCATAGGCTGAACTGGGACCTGAACCATCAACCTGCAACTGCGTCGTAAGTTGTAACCAGGGTTTGCAGGGTGCGGAAAGCCTAGATTGAAAGATCGTTGGCCAGGTGTCGGATGTGGACGCCACTTACGGGGCCCTGAGATATTAATAACAGTGGCACGGTGCACATGCAGAGTGGGGGGACCAGTCCTGGGCCCACACTGAGCCGTTGCTTGTTTCGACTCTCGAGGAGAAATCTCGGACGATGCTAGAATTTTCTGCTTTGCTATCTTGGCCTTGATAGCAGCTTCGGCAAGGCGGATGGCGGGACGATCGGGTAGGCTTACTATGTACCTGGTAGGCTGGTACTGTGCTCCACTGATACAGTATCGTGATCGGGTCCTCACCGAAGTGTAATCTTCATCGTAGGAATAATCGAGACTAACATGAGATTGAATAACGGGTGATACGATGTACTCGATTTGATAAACTTAATGACTGATGTTGGTGGCGAGGGAAAAAGATACTTACATACATTGTGTTGAAGTTCTGTTGCAGCCTACGACCAGACCACATGACAAGAGTTTACTGTGTACTGCGTTATCTCTCGCAGTGGCTTCTGACAACTGACAAGAATCAGTGACCCCCCAGACAAGTCCAGATAAGACCAGATAAGTCCACACACACCGTACAGATAGGACTCAATATCGCCAAATCAGGGATCCGATTCGAAATCTTCCCAAAATAACCACAGAAAACCGTCGAAGTGATGTCGTGGCTCGTGGTTGGCAGCCCACTGCTACCCCACCGCGGTGGAACAGTCCCAGATGTCTCATGTCGTTTGATCGAGACACCGGTCTGTCGTCATTATATGGAGACTGCAAAGTCTTTTAGTGGGACAATGGCCACCTGCATACGGCAGCAAGCAGCGCTGGATGACTTTTCTTCCGGTGTTCCTGATCTAGTGGTGTCTCAACGCCCACTGACTGATCCATCCTGTTACATTTTTCCTTTTGAGTCGACAGATCACTCGTTCTTTCGTTTTCACCATCCTTTGTTTGGCTCTTCCGCAACTCAGAACATGATTGACAGGCCCTGTTCGCGACTGTCGAGAGCTTGAGGCACTTCAGAAATGTTCACAGAGACGCAGCGCTCAGCGGCTCTCATCCTGTCATTGCTGAGCGTCAGTGCACTGTGTTGGCCCTACACCGAGTCGCTTGTTGATTATAATTTGAATGAAAACAGATCGGCGGAATCGCCGATTGACTACTGGGGAGAATGGCCGAATCATGAATACCACCCTTCGCCGGATAACTGGCGCTTCCCGGTCTACACGATCTTTTTGGACCGCATCGCCAACGGTGATCCGACGAATGATGATATCAACGGTACCGCCTTCGAGCATGTGGTGAGCTCGAATCAGATGCGTCATGGAGGCGATCTGGTTGGGTTGATTGATACGCTGGACTACATCAGGGGCATGGGTTTCAAGGTCCGCTTGAACCGCTTCCGTGGCTACTGATTGTCTGTTGCTGACAAATATAGGGCATCTACTTTGCTGGAACAGGCTTGATGAACCTCCCTTGGGCCTACGATGGCTACTCGCCGGTTGATACGACTCTGCTGGACATGCACCATGGCACCCTGGAGGACTGGAGACGGACCATCACCGAGATTCACAACCGTGATATGTATGTGATCATGGACAATACGCTGGCAACGTAAGTGTGTGCCCCGACCACGTCGTGTTACCGCCAGCTTACTTTGATACGCAGCCTGAGCAACCTGATCGGTTTCAAGGGCCACCTCAACGACTCCGCCGATTTCCGGGCAGACGAATATGAGGTCGAGTGGATCACGGATCGACAGTATGCCGATTTCAAGTTCAGCAATGAGTACAACAAAACTTGCGACTACCCGAAATTCTGGAATGAGACTGGCTTTCCCTTGGCGTCCGGCGGGGTTGAGGAATTGAAGGGTTGCTACAATAGTGATTTTGATCAGTATGGAGAACTGGAGGCGTTTGGCAACTTCCCTGACTGGAAGCGCCAGCTCACCAAGTTCGCGTCAGTGCAAGATCGCCTGCGTGAATGGCACAAGCCCGTGCGCGATGTTATCACCAGGCATTATTGTATTCAAATTGCCAGTTTGGATATCGATGGTTTCCGTTATGATAAAGCTGTTCAGGCAACCCTCGAGCCCCTGGGCGAGATGTCCGCTGCGTTCCGAGAATGTGCGAAGAAATATGGCAAGCATAATTTCTTTATCCCTGGCGAGATCACTTCTGGCAATACCTTCGGCAGTCTCTACCTTGGGCGCGGCCGTCAGCCAAATCAGCGTCCTGACTCCGCGGGTGCTGCTGTCCAGCTGAAGAATGACTCAGATGCTCAATACTTCCTCAGAGAAGACGGCCACCAAGCGTTGGATGCAGCTGCGTTTCACTATACTATCTACCGTTCGATGACCCGTTTCCTCGGAATGGACGGTAACCTCGTTGCCGGCTTCGACTTGCCTACGGATTTCATTGAGGCATGGAACGGGATGCTTGTGACCAACGATTTCCTGAATCCCTTCACCGGTCAACTCGACCCGAGGCATATGTATGGCGTGTCAAACCAGGATAACTTTCGCTGGCCCGCGATTAGAAATGGCACGGAGAAGTACCTTCTGGGTCTTTTCATAGTCACACTGGAGCTCCCTGGCATCCCCCTCATCCTATGGGGTGAGGAGCAGGATATGTATGTTTTCGATGCCACTGCAACGAACTATCTCTTTGGTCGGCAGCCGATGACATACCAGACCGCATGGTGGACGCATGGCTGCTTCAACTTGAATACGACAAAATTCTACAATTTCCCCAATGAAAGGGGTCTGACCGGCTGTCACGACATCACTGTCACGTACGACCAGCGTAATCCTGCTCACCCACTTCGCAATATCATGAAGCGCATGTTCGAAATCCGGGAGCACTATCCAGTTGCTAATGATGGCTTCTATCTCCAAACCCTCTCCCAGCTTACCAAGGATGTCTATCTTCCTGGTTCGTCGAGCACCCCCACAGTGACTGGTCTGTGGTCGGTGTTGCGAAGCTACTTCCCCGGGGTCCAGACGGAGGCGGATTCTAAGGGCAACACCAGTCTTTGGCTTGTATATCATAATGACAACAAGACCGTGACCTACGGCGGTGACTGCAAGAATCGGAATACCGCGTTGTTGGCCCCTTACAAGTCGGGGACGAAGCTGAAGAACCTCTTCTACCCTTACGACGAGCTCACTTTGGAAGACGGTCCTGGCGAAATCGAAGTCCAGGGCAGCAACGAGTCCTACGGCTGCGCTCAAAACATGACTCTTCTTCCTTGGGAATACCGTGCCTACGTGGAGGCAGATAGCTTTGTTGAGCCCGGTCCCACAGTTACCGACTTTGTTCCCGGCCACGACGCACGTTTGCTGTCCTCGGAGGACACGGGGGAAACCGTCGACATCC